TCCAGAGTTTCCAGGTCGAAGAAAAAATGCAGCAAGTAGCCAAAAAGAAAGAATTCAGCTACTGAGGAGCCACAGTCAGGATCTCACACACACACACACCATGCACACAGAGTCAGGATCAGCCTCCACTCTCAAGGAATGGAAGCTTGGAACACAGTTCTCCAGAAGGCAAAAGATCTAGGCTTTCAGCCAAGTATGACTAAGTCCATAAAGCTTGCTATAATCCTCCAGGGGACAAAATGGGCCTTTAATGAAATAGAGGATTTCTAGCCTTCCTGATGAAAAGATCAGAGTTGTGTAGATGTATTTGATGTTCAAACATTGGAGTCAAGAAAAACATAAAAAATAAATGCGAATGAATGATCATAAGGATTAAACCAGGATAAATTCCTTCTAATATGGGGAGATGATGCATATCCCCATCGTCAGAAGCCATAGGGGGAGTCTGATTAGACAGAAGGCTGAGGAGTGTGTCTCTTATGACTTGATTTTACAAGAAGAATGGAAAGGCAAGGGAAGACGAATACACTGGGAAGAATGTTGCACCCACTTTCAGATGAGGTCACTTTATTGTCAGTTTTGCTTAATTGTTTTACTTTCTTACAACAGATCTTACTTAAGTTGGAGTAATTTGTAAATGTTTCTAATATAAAAATAAAATGTCAATAAAAATAAAAACAAAAAATGAGTTTTTAAAAAAAAAGTGTCAGTTACTCCTTATTGCTTTTAGGATAAGATAAAAACTCTTCTTTTCGCTTTGTAAAGCCCTTCCCAATATGGCTCCAGTAGGCCTTTCCAGGCCGATGACCCATCCTCATGTCCTCTGTGATTCAGTCAAGCTGGGCCCGATGTTCCTGTACACCACAGTACGTCGCCTATTTCTGTCCCTTTACACAGGCTGTTCACCATGCCTGGAATGTTCTCCCACCAAACTTCTACTTCTAGGAATCCCTTCCTCCCCTCCAAGCTGAGCCCAAATGCTGCTTCCTCTAAGAAGCCTCTCCTGATTCCCCCCCAGTTGTTGGTAGCCACCAGCTCTCTGCATATTTACTTAGTAGATGTTCTGTATTTATTTATCAGTATGTCTATTGTATTCCCCTTATAGACTGTAAGCTCCTTGAGAGCAGGTACTCTCAATTTTGCATCTCCTGCTGTTAGCACAGTGCTTGACACATAGTAATAAATATTTATTGTTTAATTGATTCCCCACTCAAGCCAAATTCCCCCAAATATCCCTATCTACCCTGATATCTTGTATGTTCCCAAGTATTCACATGTTCTCTATGCCACTGGAGTGTAAGCTCTTTGAGGGTAGATACCGCTTTTGCCTTTCTTCGTATGCTCAGTGCCAAGCACAGGGGAAGTAGTCAATAAATGCTTATGGATTGATTGATTGGTTGGTTGGTTGAGGATACTACCACCTCTCAGTCATTTGGATGTTACCCTTGAGCCTACCCTCTCTCTTACTCCTTACATTCAATCAGCAGCAAAGTCTTTTCATTTCCACCTCCATAACATCCCACCCCCTTTCTTCTCTTTCCATTCCTTTCTGTAGATCTCCTTTATATATCTGTTAGAATACTCTTTCTAAGTCATAAGGCTGACAATGTTACTCCGCCTGCCAGAAACCTTCAGTGGCTTCTTATTGCATTGAGAATAAAATGCAGACTCTTCCACCTAGCATCTAAGGCACTCCACAATCTTCCTCTTAGAGGCAGTTAAGTGTTATCACTGGAGTCAGGAAGACCTGAGTTCAAAGCCAGCCTCAGACACTTAACTTGCTGTGTTACCCTGAGCGAGTCACTTTAACCTCTGTTTGCCTCAGTTTCCTCATCTGTAAAATTAGGATAATAGCACCCACTTCGGACTGTTTTGAAGATCAAATTAGATAGTAATCGTAAAGTGCTTAACACAGTGCCTAGCATATAAAATGCTTCTTTTCTCTACTCCTCCCTCCAACTTACCTTGCCAACTTATTTCAGATTACTCCCCCTCATGCTCTCTACATTCCAGCCAAACTGGGCTGCTAATTGTTCCCTGAGCTTAGCATTCTGTTTTCCACCTCTTTGCATTTGCATAAATCATCCCTCATTCTCTGCCTCTCAGAATCTTTATCCTCCTTCAAGGCTCAGCTCAGATGTCCTCTACTCAGTGAAACCTGCCCTGATCCTCCCCCCAGTTGTTAGCACCTTGGCCCCTCCTCAAGTTAGTTTATATGTCTACTCAAATGACTTATCTGTGTACATGTCGTATCCATCCAGGAATTGTATGCTCTTCAAGTGCAGCGACTGCTTACTTTTTCTGTCTAAGACAGTGCCTTCTTACATGGTAAGCAGCTAGCTGCACAGTGGATGGAGTTCAGAACTTGGAGTCAGGAAGGCCTCAGCTTGAATCCTGCCTCAGACACTAGCTGTGTGCCTCTTGGCAAGTCATTTAACCTCTCTGTTCTTCTGTAAAGTGGGAATAATAAGAACACACTCCACTGTGGTGTTTTGAGGACCAAATGAGATCTATTTCAAGTGCTTTGCAAACTTAAGATATTAATATTATTATTAATAAAAACTTGTGTTGAAGTTGTTAAATAGTCGGTTCATGCATTCATCTTGGCCATATGACTGACTGCATAGTAGACTCTGCAAAACTGCCCAGCAATTTCCAGGGCTTTCAGAATTTCTTTAGTCACTTTGGCAGTGAAAGCCAAGTTCTTGTCTGACCCTCAATAGGAGTAACTCACCGCTGACAGAAGAGATCCCAAAGGGTTTAAGCAGTATCAGCCTAATCTTGCTTCCCTTCCCTGGTGATCCTACCTTTATCACCACTACTACCACCAACACCCCATGGGTTTGGGAATCTACTACCACCAGAAACCACTTCCTATGTTTTGTGTTATAGTAGCATGTGCCAAAGAGGTTTTGCGGGCAGTGGTTGGAGACAAGCCACCAGAGCCCTCCTTCCCTCCCTCCACGGTGGCAGAAAGATGTAAGGAAAATGAAATCTCCAAAGAATTCTTCTGCACCTGGAGGAGCAACTTGCCAGATCTAGAGGAGAGAACCTTTCAGCTGTGACTGACTGCAGAGTCCCACCCACAGCAGTACAGATGGATCTAAAGGGAAAGATGATGAATAACCAAAGTCTTTTCAAGGATACTGTGTACAGGTTCTCTAAACTTCATGATGTGCAATTTCCGTAATTCTTCCTTGTAATGGCTTCTGTACTATTTAGAGGCAGGGTATTTTAGCTTTTGGGAATTTTGAAGAGGAAAAGAATCTGAAATCAGGAAGAAACAGCAGAATTTTTATGATTTTACATATTTTTGGGAAAACTTCTTGGACCTCAACGACAGCTCTACTCTAATGCTTCATTATGATGTGAAGATAACCCAGGATTCTTGAAGGCTGTGTGTCAGCATACCATAAGCTTTATTGTTCCTACCAAGCCTGAAAGACTTTGAATATGGCCTTGTTTACATATTTAAATCTATACTGTAGCTTAACTAAACTCATAGAGGCTTAATGGAGAGTTTGAGGTTTTTCAGCAACTTTCAAAGATCATTTGGTTAAGAGCAGAGAGTATTGCTGTCTGTGTTGGTGGAAGGATTACCACATTGCCAAAATTTGTGGCTCCTTGAAGTGTCCTTGAAAGAGCCTTTTCATTTCTTGGAGTTTTAAAAATATGTCTCCAAGGAGTTAAAATTAAGTCTTAGTTTTTGTCTTACAGCAATAATATATTTATTTAATTGTTCTTTAGCAGTGATACTAAATCCTCACATTTATGTGGTACTTTAAGATATAAGAAGCACTTTCACAGCAGTGCTATAAGGTTGATAGTCTAAGTATTATTATTCCCATTTGACTGAGGAAACAGACTTAGAGCTGAACCTAGGTGTCCTGAGTCCATGACCAATACTATTCTTACTATACCACTATGCCTCTGGAGTGGTATAATGGAAAGAAGTGAGAAGAGTGAGTAATGAAGCTTAAGTTCTAATTCTGGCTGTACCACAAATTAGCTATATGATCTAGAATACAAAAGCAAAGTGAGGAGTTTGGACTAAATGATGGCTGTCCTTTCCAGATATAAAGTTATGTGATTTGAATGGTTCAAAATAAAACAATTTTGAGTTACCATCTCCTAGCCATCAAACTGGCAGAAACAATTAAAAGCAATAAAACTCAATGTTGGAGGTGTTCTCATAGAACCTTTTTGACAGCATTTTATCAATATGCAGTAGAAGTTACCAAAATAATTATACTCTTTGACCCAGTTATTCCACTGTTGAGTGTTGTGCCCTGAAAATGTTACAGAAAAACAATAAGAAAAACAATACAGAAAAACAAAAAGCTGTTTTCATAGCATTATTATAAATAATTGCAAGAGACTGGAGAAACAAATATCCAACAGTAAAAGAATAGTTAAATATATTGTGGTACATAAATGCAGGAGTAGAATTTGGTTAAGTCTCACAACTATAAGGAGAACAAAGAAATCTAGAAAGACCATTATGAAACAATGCAAAATAAAAAAAAAAAGCCAAAGTAAAAAAAAATAATAAATGAAGAGGTTTTGCCGGGAGGGACTCTCCTACCCTAATAACAGTAAACACTTTCAGTGCTATACCATTTGAACTACTTCGAAGATAGTCAGGTGGTGGCATTGGCATTTGACCCCAGCTTTCCACATCCAATTTAACTCCTTAGCTATGATAAAAAAAAATTAATGAATATTTTTAAGGAAATATGTGCATAGAAGGAGCTGATACTTTACTTAAATACAAAATGAAATTCAGCGATTTGATACACTTGTATGTATATACATAATCCACATTGAGACAACATCTATTTGAGCTGACAATTTAATTGCCTCACAAATTACAGTAGAATTTATACATATCTTGTTCCATATGACTTTACGCATTTTTTCTTAGTATATATATACATTATATGCTTCATATGTGCTCCTAGAAAAAAAATGCATGTATTCTTATATTTTGGCTCTCATAGGAAGTAGTTGAAGCCATTGATCGCAGCGCCTTCATCAACTCTGACCTGCCTATCATAATATCTATAGAAAATCACTGTTCATTGCCTCAGCAACGAAAAATGGCAGAAATTTTCAAGGTGAGTGCTAAGTTAAATGGCAGGAGAATATCATGACACCCTTCTTGTCAATATCACTGAGATTTTTCCTGAGTTAAGTAGGTATACACAAAACTTACACATAGTTTGAGGTATCTTAGAACCCTAAAAACAGCCAGAGGTGGGATAATAATTGGAAACACACTGGAACTTTTCTTGACTGTGACCAAGAGTTCTGAAATGATCTGAGGAAATTCAGAGTAATCTTTCGATGTCTTATTGCCAATCACAAAATGCTCAGTAGGCAAAGAAGACCAAGACTTTCTCTGGACAGTCTCAAGCTTCTAATGTATCCCTAGACGAACCTTTGAAATTTAGAGATACCTAAAGTATCAGGCATTCTGAGATGTAGTCCCTCCATATGGAGGGAATGGGGAAAGACAGCTAACTTATTATTACTATAATAAATTCTTTAGAACTTAACAAATTTATAAATATGGAATAGGAAAAGAACCCAAATATAGATGTAGTAGGGGTGTGCTGTGCCCTTGGCTATAGTACATTTATCCCCGCCCCCTTTCTAATTAACTGGTTGGTCCCACTTGCAGAAGCATTGAATGTAGAAAGAAGGGAAGAGCTGACAAGGTTGGAATTTGACCAAGGGAAAGTAATGTAGCTTAGAAAGGCCAGGGTATAATTTCTTAAGGAGAATGAGCACGGGAAAGAGAGAAACAACATGCTGTCTGCTTAAAACCGAGTTGTGTTTTACCACAACCACCTTCTCTTGCAGTAAAACTTCTAATATTGAGTCTGTGACCTTGAGGTGTGAGCAGGCTCACATACTGGTGGAGTTATGCAACAGCAAGAGAAGCTAGAGGCATGGGAGAGCCATGCCATACGTAGAGTACCCAGTGTAGACATGGGACTGCATGCTTTTCCCATCTTGCCACTTAAATTGGTGGTTTGGAGCTCTTGAGTTTTAATTTGCCTGCCAAACCAAAGTAGGTGGTTTCTTGGTCTAGGAAGAAGACATGTTCACCTAAACCCCACAAGTACTTTAATGCATTCACCTTTATTCCTTCTCTTAGTTGTGAGAGCAAACTCTGTCGAAACACAGCAGGGGTAGGAAAATAAATGGAAGCACCATGAACCAAGAATGTAATTGGATAAATGCGCTCACACAAAAATCCTTAGACTAATGAGACAGGGGCAGAGCTAGGGAAGATAGGTAGCTATCTTTATGAAAACCACCAAGGGCTTGGTATGACCCCAGAACACTATCTGGTGTTGATTAGAGTACATAATCATAGGAAACGATGGACTGTACTTGATCCTTACTACTGAATAGGATCTGACAGTTTGATCAGTAGCACACCCTGGTGGTTAAATATCTGAGGATGCGGAGGTATAGAAGGTGAGAAAGGGGAGTTTTAGTTTTCTCTTTAGCTTTTTGTCTTTTAGTCCTGTTGATGGGATGCTGGGGATTTGAAAGCCTTTTAGATTTTTGCTCTTAACTGAATCTCCTAATTGATACTATAAAACACTTGATTCAGTGGAAGCTGGGTGAAAGCTTATGACTGACCTTTTGTAAAGATCTTCTTTCATGCCTTCCCAGTTTTTTCCCCTACTCTTCTTACCCTTCCTGCCGGAGACTCTCAAAAAATGTCTTTCCCTAGTTCTGTGCCAAGAGCTGTTATGGGAAGGCAGCCTTGTACTGAGGCAGATGTGGGCCTTCCGCCCCTGTGTAAGCAAAACTAGACATGAGAAACAGAGGTTTACTGTTTGTCTATCTGATATTTCAGAATGTATTTGGAGAAAAACTAGTTGCCAAGTTTTTGTTTGAGAGTGATTTCTCCGATGAGCCGATGCTTCCTTCACCCGACCAACTTAGGAGAAAAGTGCTTCTTAAAAACAAAAAGCTGAAAGCTCATCAGACTCCAGTGGATATATTAAAGCAAAAGGTATGTTCCCTACACAAAGAGATTTTTAAAATATTATTACAAACTAGGAACAAAGAACTAGTAGCATTGTTATATTTCATGTGGCCTTTTCTTTGCCTCTATGAAGCAGTTAATCAAGAGAATAAATTACTAATTTTTGGTTATATTTCCCCAAATAATTAATATAGCTAAAACTAGAAATTATGGAAACTGGGACAAAAGAGGGTGGGAGTAGGGTGGAAAGAGCCTGGACAGGCAAAAGCCTTCTCCTCCCAAAGAGGGAGAGTACAAAAGAAAGTCCCTTCCTGCTCTTGCAGTCTCACCAGTATATCCCAGTACAGATGACCAGATTAGATGCAGTCCTACCAGGCAGCCCTTTGGAGGAGGCCCGGGTCAGAATTGTGGGGGAAAGAGGAACAAACAGGAGGTGTAAAGGGAAAGGTAGATACCCTGGTGATTGAAGGTAGGACCCTCATGATGCAGTCACGCTAGACAGCCCTTGAGAGGAGGTGGGAGGATGTGGCAGTGGAATGGGAAAGGGATGAGACCAGGGTCTGCTGGAGCCCCTCAAACTGGCTCACAGAGCCAGTTGCTCAATTTTCAACATGAGCATTTAAACCTTGTAAATCAGCTTCAAGTAAGGGCTTGATTTATTGTTTTATTGATTTCCAGATATAGGAAAATGACAAAATGCTAATAATGCAGATTAAACTTAAAAGTGTGCCCCATCTCTTTTTTGAGAATTGATTGTTGAATATTTATCAGCTCACCCCTGGGTAGGACCCTCAAGTTCTTCAAGATACAGGGCACACAGAGGATCAGGAAGGTCTGAGATGGAGTGAAGAAGAATTGTGCCACCTCCCTCTTTCTCACTCCCAAGAACATCACCTATCTACTGTATTTGCATTTTGGTTTTCTAAGTTACATTTAGAAAAAACTTCCTATGATCCCCTTCAAAAACTCTTTATTTTTGTGAAATTTGTTTCCTTTAGAATCTGTTTACTTTTTTGAAATGTTCTATGAAAGAAAATAGCAGAAAAATACCGAAACAGGAAACAGAATCCTGAGTTCTAGTCATAGCTGTCCTACCTATTGGCCCTATGACCAGGCACTTAACTTCTGTTGAATCTTAGTCTCCTCATCTATAAAACTGGCAAAATATTAACTGCCTTCCCTCTCATGAAGGATAATTATAATGATCTGGTAAGAAAATAAATATGAAAGTATTTTGCACACTGGGAAGTATGATAAAACTATAAGGAATTTTTATGTTATTTCTTTTATATGTAAATAGTGTGATTAATTAGAGCTTTTAAATGGCCCACATTTACATAATTTTTGACAGTTTACGAACTGTATCCCCCTAACATCCTTGTGCAATAAGTAATAAGAGTATTATTATTTTCTTTCTACAGTTGAGGAAATGGAAGCTCTGAGAAATAAGATGACTTCCTCTTAGCTAGTTAAGGTCAGAACTGGAATCTCAAACACAGGTTTCCCAATTCTGAGTCTGTTGAGTCCAGCACTTGCTACTATGTGCTGAGCACAGCATTAAGTGATAAGATACAAAGAAAGACAAAAACAGTCCCTGCCTTCAAGGAGTTTACTATGTAATAGGTGAGACAATATGCAAACAACTTTGTACAAACAAAATATGTACAGGCTAATCTAGAGAACATCAGAGAGGAAGCACTGGCACTAAAGGGAATTGAGAAAGGTTCCATATGGAAGGTAGGATTTTATCTGAGATGTTAAGGAAGCCAGGAAACGAAGATAAGGAAAATGCAGAAAGTTGGGAGTTGGAATGTCTTGTGTGAGCAGTGGCAGAAAGGAGGCCAGTGTCACAGCATCATAGAGTATGTGGAGAAGAGTAAAGTGTGAGAACACTGGAAAGGTGAGAGAGGGCCAAGTTACGAGGGTCTTTAAAAGTCAAACATTTGATTTCATCTTTGATCCTACGGGTAATAGGAAGCCACTGGAGTCTGTTGAGTGGAGGGCGGGAGGGTGATATGGTCAGATCTGTGCTTTAGAAAGATCACTTTGACAGCTGACTGGATGATAGACTAGACTGGGGAGACATTTGAGAAAAGGAGACCAACCAACAGGTTATTGCAGCAATCTAAGCATAATGTGATGACAGGGTAGTGTCAGTGTCAAAAGGAGAGAGATGTTGTATTAGTAGAATTGATAGGACTTGGCAGCAGATTGGATATGAAGAGTGAAGAGTCAAAGATGACACCTAGATTGTGAGCCTGGCTAACTGGGAGGATGATTGTACCCCCAAAAGTAATAAGGAAATTAAGAAGAGGGTGTTTTGGGGAAAGTCATGAAATGAGCGGTTTTGGACACGTTGAGCTTAACATGTCTGTTGTCATCAATTTCTACCCATTGTTCCTAATTCTTCTTCCTGGAACCAAAGAGAATAAGTATAATCCCTTTTCCACGCAGCGTTGATGATGATGACGATGATGATGTTATCAACAAAATGTGCCAGTGCAGCTAAGCACTTTACAAATATTATCACATTTGAGCCTCACAGCAACCCTCAGAGATCAATGGTATTATTACACCCATTTAACAGATGAGGATCCTGAGGCAGGTAGAGGTGAAGTGACTTGCCCACAATCACAGAGCTATTAAGTGTCTGAAGCTGGATCTGAACTCAGGTCTTCTTGACTTCACACCCATTACACTGTCCACTCTATCTACTGGCCACCGAACTACCAATAAACAACAGCCCTTCAAATACTTGAAGACAGTTATTTTCCTGTTTTCTTGAACTAATCTTCATATGGTGTGAACTCAAGGTCCTTTACTATTCTGATTGTTCTCTTTTGTGAACATTCTCTCATTATCAGTGTCTTTATTAAAATGTAATGTTCAGAGCCAAGATAGTGGAGGAAAAGCAGTGACTTGCTTGAGCTCTCCCCAAAACCCCTCCAAATACCTGTAAAAAAAATGTCTCTAAACAAATTCTAAAGCAGCAGAACCCACAAAACGACAGAGTGAAACAGATTTCCAGCCCAAGACAACCTGGATGGTTGATTGGAAAGATACATCATGCCGGCCAGGAAGAGGAATGCATAGGTGCACAAGCAAAACAGGCATCAGCAAACCTGGAGCAGCCCACAGAGAACTGAATCCTGGACAGCTGTGGCAGTTTCCATACTTCTCAGCCCACAAATGCCGAAGACAACTAAGAAGGTCAATAGGAAAAGTCTGTGACTGTGGTGAGAGAGAAACTCCATCCCAGCCCCAGGCCCCAAAGATGGCCCTGGGGTGGCAGCTGCTTCCAGTGTTTTTGGCCCACAAACTGAGGGGGAATCGAGTGGCTGATCAGAGGGAGATTGCAGGGATCTCTTTGTTGCTACAGGATTCTCTTGCTTTGCATGTGCTTGGATCTGGGTCACAGTTCTAGGTGGTGGTCCTGGGGCGAGGAGGAGTGCTGGTGTAGTGGAGCTTGTAATGGCAGTGGAGAGGGGCTCCTCCTCACAGTTCCAAGGCAGAAAAGAGTGCTTGTGGTAACTTGTAGACCAGAGCACAGGCCAGGAGAGGAGTAAACACCTCAACCTTATCATAATACCTTGGAAGAACTGAAAATTTACAGGTCCTTAGTAGTATCTCTGAAAACAGCTGCACAAAACCCCTAAATCTTGGAATACTACGTTATCCACACTGTAAGCAGACCCTTACCTTAACAAAGAGTTTATAACTCGAGTAAATGGCTGGGATCATAAGCAAACCTCACAAAAAAAGTGAGACCATAGAATCTTTCTTGGATGACAAAGAAGATCAAAACATACAACTAGAAGAAGACAGCAAAGTCAAAGCTCCTGCATCCAAAACCTCCAAGAAAAATATGAATCAATTCCAGGTCATGGAACAACTCAAAAAGGATTTTGAGAAGTAATTAAGAGAAGCAGAGGAAAAACTGGGAAGAGAAATGAGAGTGATGCAAGAAAATCATGAAAAACAAGTCAACAACTTGCTAAAGGAGACCTAAAAAAATACTGAAGAAAATAACACCTTAAAAATAGCCTAACCCAAATGGCGAAAGAGGTCCAAAAAGCCAATGAGGAGAAGAATGCCTTAAAAGGCAAAACTGTCCAAATGGAAAAGGAAGTCTGAAAGCTTACTGAAGAAAATACTTCCTTAAAAATTAGAATGGAGCAATTGGAAGCTAGTGACTTTATGAGAAATCAAGACACTGTAAAACAAACCCAAAAGAATGAAAAAAATAGAAAACAATGGGAAATATCTCACTGGAAAAACAACTGTCCTGGAAAATAGATCCAGGAGAGATAATTTAAAAATTATTGAACTATCTGAAAGCCATGATCAAAAAAAAGAGCCTTGACATCATCTTTCAAGGAATTATCAAGGAAGACTGCCCTGATGTTTTAGAACCAGAGGGCAAAATAGAAATTGAAAGAATCCACCAATCACCTCCTGAAAGAGATCCGCAAAGGAAAACTCCTAGGAATGTTGTAGCCAAATTGCAGAGTTCCCAGGTCCAAAGAGAAAATATTGCAAGCAGCCAGAAAGAAATAATTCAAGTATTGTGGAAACACAATCAGGATAACACAAGATTGAGGGCTTGGAATATAATGTTCCAGAGGGCAAAGGAGATAGGATTACAACCAAGAATCACTTATCCAACAAAACTGAGTGTAATCCACGAGGGGAAAAAATTAATATTCAGTGAAATAGAGGACTTTTCAAGCATTCTTGATGAAAATACCAGAGCTAAATAGAAAAACTGACTTTGAGATACAAGACTCAAGAGACGAAAAGGTAAACAGGAAAGAGAAATCAGAAGGGACTTACTAAGATTGAACTGTTTACATTCCTGCTTGAAAAGATGATATTTGTAACTCATGAGACCTTTGTCAGTATTAGGGTAGTTGGAGGGGAAAAAGTATATGTATATATGTATATAGATAGATAGATAAATAGATAGATAGATAGAGGGCACAGGGTGAGTTGAAGATGAAGGGGTGATCTGGAGAATAAAATTAAGG